AAACATCAAAGACACTAGATCTGAGATTAAGCAGAGATGACTGCATATTTTCCTTTCCTAAACCCTCTCCTCAAGATTAATTTTTGCTTTTTTTCTAATTACCGATGCAACTGTGCCATTGTATGACTTTTCCTTTCATGAAATTTTAAATGGATGCCCAGAAGAACCACTTGTTCTTCTTTGCTAAAGAGTCGTTAAAAGACATATTTTAAAAGCCAAATTACCATTATTAGGAACAGTGTAGGATCCAAGTAGACAGGTTTCATTAGCAATTATCAGTGATGGTTAGTGAGGAAATGTTAACAGGAGAACCTAGAAGACTGAATCCAGAAGTCATGAATCTTAAAAAAGCATTCTCTCCACCACCTGAGCCTTTACATTTCTATGGACAAAATTTTAATGCTAATGTGGTGACATATATTGGAACTGTGTATTTGGTTTATTTATTTTTTTAAATGGGAGATGTGAATGCCGTCAATCTTGGAATTTGGACGAAAATGCTTTTTTTAAAAAAAAAACTGTTGTCTGCTACTTTGGAGTAGCAGCCAGGATTTATGACATATGCTGCTGAGCTCTCACAACACCTGATTAAAGTAAGGAATAAAACAGTAGTGGACAGTTTGTGGTCTGTTTGGAGCTCACACTCTTGGAGCACTTGCAATAAATGCAGAACATCAAAGGTAATCTGATAGAAAGTCAAGCTTTTCATTTAAAAATAATGAAAAGTCAAGAGAAGTAAAAAAATTATCCTACTAGTTATTGTATCTGTTGAATGCTTGTATTATCTTATTTTTATCATGTTTTGACATTGTATTGTTTGTCTTGTTGTTAGCTGCCCAAAGTGGCCTGGTTGCCAGATAGTGTGGGGTATAAATCCAATAAAAAAATAAAAAAAAATAAAATAAATATGCATTCTGAGGGTTTCCTTTTAAGGGGAGCCTTGTTCAGACATAGACTTGGAGAATGTATGGTCAATGTCTGTTGGAGTTAATGCCAGTGGCAACAAATTGCTTAACCATGGTTAACAGGAAGGGTAAATTAGTATCAAGGAAGGAAATGGAGTATGCATTCCTTAGATCAGTGGTCCCCAACCTTGGGCCTCCAGCTGTTCCTGGACTACAACTCCCAGAAGCCTATACCACCACCTCTTCTGGACAGGATTTCTGGGAGTTGAAGTCCAAGAACATCTGGAGGACCAAGGTTGAGGACCACTGCCTTAGATGGCTCTTTGTTTCATTAACTGAACTTTGCAGAGTATCAACTTTTGTAAAGAGTAATATCATATTCATTAGGAGCTTATGAATATTGTGTAGAAGTTTTACATAAGGAGTTCTCTTTCATTGTCTTTGCCGTTTATTCCATCTTCTGCAGATGATTTTATGGACCTAAATTGAATAAAGCTCTCAGGGTTGTTGTTTTTATGATGTGGTGTGTAAAGTGTATTAAATAAGTACAAAGCGCATTGAAATGATCCTGTGTGTATATAGACACAGTGGTACCTCGACGTACAAACATCTCCACTTGTGAACGATTCGAGTTACGAATGGTTCCGTTTGCAAAGTTGCTTCAACTTGCGAATGGAGCCATGACTTACGAACCAAAAAAAGAAAAAAAAAACTTTCCTGCGCTTTTTTTGACCTAGGTTCATGTTAGGTCAAAAGAAGAAAAAATAAAAAAGAATTCACCCCCTAGTGGTAGATACGGATTAACCGGCTTTGCATTAGTTCCTATGAGAACTAATGCTTCGACTTAAGAACAGCGCCTCGACTTAAGAATGAAAAACAGCAGGTACGGATTAAATGGTTTTCAGTGCATTCCTATGGAAAAGTTTGCCTCGACTTACGAACTTTTCGATGTACGAACACTGTTCCAATACGGATCCAGTTCGTAAGTCGAGGTACCATTGTGCTAGACTTGGGCTATTTGTATCCTTGGGGATATAAATAAGAATATCGGCACCACAGGTGCTGCGGAGATCCATAACCCTATATCTGCTAGGTGTAGCAGTAACCTCTCTATTTATAGGCATATGCTGGATGAAATAGGGAAAGTTGTGTTGTATTTGTTTTCTGAATTTTTGAATTAGAATTAAATCTGCCTCACCTGAACACTTCTGATTGGCAGGGTTATTTTGTTGGTAATGGCAGTTTCCTGAATACCCTCAGGTGACAACACTGTGTTGACTAATAATTGTGACTCCAGTATGTCCATTTGTGGGCATTCACCTATTTATACAGTTTTGAAATAAACAAATTTCAGTTACCATATTTTTCTGCTTATAAGACACACCCACACTTTTCTAGCCCCCCAAATTAAGAAAACATAGCTTTGAGTATTCAGTCTCAGGGCTCAGAATGCTTGGACATTACAAGTCCCTGTTGCATCTGAGCCTGCAGGCTCCACCTCCAATGAGCAGTGTTCCAATTGGTTTGTTCAGCATTAGCTGATGTCAGTTCCATAAGGCTTGTGATTGGAGGAAGCTAAGTCTCCTGACAGTACGAAGCTAAGCCTTGTGATTGAAGGAACCCTGTTTACTGAGGCAAGGTATGGGCAGTTTCGTTCTCTCTGTGTTGTCAGCTTACTTCCATGTTAAAGATGCCCCTCAATTTTTTGTATAATGATTTTAGGAAAAAGTAACATCTTATACACAGAAAAATATGGTAAGTTGCTTCGAATGGCCAAATAACTTACCGGCTACTATAGTATTATTGAGTGACATTCATAGAAAGTCATTGGACTGATCATTGTATATGTATGCCCATGTGTATGTGTGCACATAGGTGGGTCGCTGATTGAACTTTGTACATGTGTTTTCATCTATGTATGTTAGCTGCCAAAAAAGATGCCATTAACTGTTACTTTTTTGTGGGCGATGAGGAGCAAGAGGATTATGATGGAGTGTGCATTATGTTAGAAGCACAGCATATAATTTCAACAAATTATTTAATATCCAATTTACTACTTTTGGCTTCTGAATGTACAATAAAAATAACTAATATACAAATTGTAGTGTGCAAATGGATACCCAGTAAGTTGTAGTGGATAGACTGGAGGACTAGGACTCTGGAGACCAGGATTCCAATCCCCGCTTAGCCATTAAAACTCAGTGGGAATGTGGAATTCATTAAGCCAATCATCATCATCATAATTAGGGTTAGTTTTACTTGTATGCCACATTTCTCCCAACAAAGGAACCCAAGGCGGCTCGCAGCATTAAAATTCACACAATTAAAACACAATAACTTAAATATTTAAAGATAAATTAAACAATATATGATTTATTTGCCTCGTGGCGCAGTGGTTAAATCGCTATACTGCAGCTAAAACTGTGCTCACGACCTGGGGTTCAAATCCCAGGTAGCCAGCTCAAGGTTGACTCAGCCTTCTATCCTTCCAAGGTCAGTAAAATGAGTACCCAGCTCGCTGGGGGGGCAATGTGTAGCCTGCATAATTAACTTGTAAACCGCCCAGAGAGTGCTTGAAGCGCTATATAAGCAGCACGCTTTTGCTTTTAAAATAAAATTAAAAGATTAAAACATGAAAACATGGCAAAGATTAAAATTATCTGTTAAAATGGGGTTCAGGGATTCAGTTGTAATTGTTAAAAGCCTGCCTAGAGAGATGGGTCTTTAGTTTGTTTGTTTGTTTGTTTGTTTGTTTGTTTGTTTGTTTGTTTGTTTGTTTGTTTGTTTGTTTGTTTGTTTGTTTGTTTGTTTGTTTGTTTGTTTGTTTGTTTGTTTGTTTGTTTGTTTGTTTGTTTGTTTGTTTGTTTGTTTGTTTGTTTGTTTGTTTGTTTGTTTGTTTGTTTGTTTGTTTGTTTGTTTGTTTGTTTGTTTGTTTGTTTGTTTGTTTGTTTGTTTGTTTGTTTGTTTGTTTGTTTGTTTGTTTGTTTGTTTGTTTGTTTGTTTGTTTGTTTGTTTGTTTGTTTGTTTGTTTGTTTGTTTGTTTGTTTGTTTGTTTGTTTGTTTGTTTGTTTGTTTGTTTGTTTGTTTGTTTGTTTGTTTGTTTGTTTGTTTGTTTGTTTGTTTGTTTGTTTGTTTGTTTGTTTGTTTGTTTGTTTGTTTGTTTGTTTGTTTGTTTGTTTGTTTGTTTGTTTGTTTGTTTGTTTGTTTGTTTGTTTGGAAGGATAAGAGGGAAGGGGCCATCCTAATCTCCTGAGGGAGAGCATTCCATAGCCTAGGAACTGCCACAAAGAAGGCCCTCTCCCGTGTCCCCATCAGCTGTGCTTGTGCTGGCAATGAGACCAAGAGGAGGGCCTCCTCTGCTGATCTTAATCACTGAGAAGGTGCATATTGGGAGATATGGTCCCCTTCGGTTAAACCACTCTTTAAATACCTCACTTATCTTGAAAGCCCTATTAGGGTCGCTAAAAGTTGAGTTCAACTTGATAGCATATAACAAACTATTGTGCAAATAGTGAGATGGGGTAGGTAAAAAATGTTATAGGCATTTTAAAGATGCATATCAGTCTCAAAAAGGCAACCTCTGATGCTTGTTTTAATTATGTCTACTACGTTCTATTACATAGTTTCCAGAATCCCGTTTGTGTTCATTTAAGATTTATGTAAGGTGCCATGGCTAATTGTGGCTAATGATGAGATGACAGAGAACAACTGGGTTGTAAAGTCAGGCACAGGTGTGGAAGCAAGATGCATCCAGCTACCTTATCAAGTACCATATTTTTCTGTATATAAGACTATACTTTTTTCTAAAATCTTTAGACCAAAAATTGAGGTCTTTGATCCCAAAGTGCAGCACTTTGATCCCTTTCCCCCTGCACTTGCTAAGCCCCACTTAGATTTCTTAATTTTGGATTAGAAAAATGGAGAGTGTCTTATACATGGGAGTGTCTTATACACGGAAAAATACAGTAGCTACAGTTAGCTATAGGAAGTAACCAGGTTATACATGAGTGTAAATAAAGCTATACATGAATGTAAATAAAGCAGAATACAATGTTAATAAAGCAACACTAAAAGTAATTATTTCCTGTTTTCCAGAACTTTGCCAAGAACATTTTTGCAATTCTTCAGTCAGTGAAAGCTAGAGAAGAGGGGCGTGCACCTGAACAACGACCAGCACCTAATACTGCGCTAGTGGTAAGACTAGTTCTACAATACAAGTTAAACCCTTTTTAATTGAAAGAAAAAAGACGTGTATAAATTACTTTACTAGTTAAATTAAGCTGCTATCCAAAAATCTAGATGTAAACATTTTATTAAAAAATGCCACAAGTCTTTTCCTTTTTTCTTTCCAGGATCCCACTTCAAGGAACAAGCAGCCTATTCCAGCTGCATACAACAGATACGATCAAGAAAGGTTTAGAGTTACAGAAGGTGAGTATAGATACATTAGCTGTTGTCTTGTTTTAAATCATACTGGCTAGAAATAAGTCATTGTTGTTGTTTAGTCGTTAAGTCGTGTCCAGCTCTTTGTGACCCCATGGACCAGAGTCTTCCATTGCCTCCTGGAGTTTGGTCAAATTCATGTTGGTAGCTTCGATGACACTGTCCAACCATCTCGTCCTGTCGTCGCCTTCTCTTCTTGCCTTCACATTTTCTCAACATCAGGGTCTTTTCCAGGGAGTCTTCTCTTCTCATGAGATGGGCAAAGTATTGGAGCCTCATCTTCGGGATCTGTCCTTCCAGTGAGCACTCAGGGTTGATTTCCTTCAGAATGGATAGCTTTGATCTCCTTGCAGTACAGGGGACTCTCAAGAGTCTCATCCAGCACCACAATTCAAAAGCTTCATTTCTTCGGCGGTCAGCCTTTATGGTCCAGCTCTCAGTTTCATACATCACTACTGGAAAAACCATAGCTTTGACTATGCGGGCTTTTGTCAGCAAGGTGATGTCTCTGCTTTTTAAGATGCTGTCTATCTAGGTTTGTCATTGCTTTCCTCCCAAGAAGCAGGCGTCTTTCAATTTTGTGGCTGCTGTCACCATCTGCAGTGATCATGGAGCCCAATAAAGTAAAATCTGTTACTACCTCCATATCTTCCCCTTCTATTTGCCAGGAGGTGATGGGACCAGTGGCCATGATCTTAGTTTTTTTGATGTTGAGCTTCAGACCATTTTTGGCACTCTCCTCTTTCACCCTCATTGAGAGGTTCTTTAATTTCTCCTCACTTTCTGCCATCAGAGTGGTATCATCTGCATATCTGAAGTTACTGATATTTCTTACGGCAATCTTAATTCCGGTTTGGGATTCCTCCAGTCCAGCCTTTCACATGATGTATTCTGCATACAAGTTAAATAAGCAGGGAGACAGTATAAAACCTTGTCGTACTCCTTTCCCAATTTTGAAACAATCATTCCCATTTCTTTAAGGACTTGCCATTGTTTGCTGTGGTCCACACAGTCAACGGCTTTTGCATAGTCA